TCAGCAAGTTAAAAACCAGCAAGAAGGCAAAGGAGGTTGTGGAAAGACAAACTATTCTGCAATGCTCAATGCTAACCCGAAACTTTTAATGTAATGTTGTTCTCTTTTTTTATTCTTTAAATACATAATATTTCACAGTGGATAAAATTATAATTTAATTATTTTTTTAATATATAAAACGTTGGTGCTATTAAATTGTCCACGAAGTGTATGCCTAAGCATATATGTAATATGATTGAATACTATATAGAACCACAACTTTAATAGCAAATTTGAAAGCATTAAACTTATGGGAAATGTATATCTCAAGAGATTTAGACTCAACCTTCACCTAATTAGTCAATCTATAAATATTTAATACCCACCTTACACATGGGTAAGACAAGATTTCTTACGCTTGTCTTACACATGTGTAAGGTGGGTATTAAATATTTATAGATTGACTAACTAGGTGGAGGTTGAGTCTAAATCTCTTAAGATATACATTTCCCATAATTAGTTTAATGCTTTCAAATTTGCTATGAAAGTTGTGGTTCTATATAGTATTCAATCATATTACATATATGCTTAGGCATACACTTCATGAACAATTTAATAACACCAACGTTCATAATATAATACTACTAACTTCTAACAAATATTTTTAAAATATATAGTAACATATAATTTAATTATTTTTTGTACGATCAAATATGCTTAAATATTCTTGATTTATTTATTTTTGTGCGTGTAAGACCTTTTTGGAGCTTTTTGTACTAAATTATATCTAAGTTCAAAAAATTTGAAGCTCTTCATTACGCAAGAAAAGAAAATATACAAAAATATCATTCCCTCCAAACTTGAACCTTATTTTTTAATTAGGAAACTTGAACTTGAATATCTGCAAACACACATCGCTTCTAGCGAATTCAAACTAACTATATTTGTTAAATATGCCATATAAAATAATAATTCATTGTTAAATGGTCAAACAAACTCATCGTGCACTTTTTCAAACTCAACTGCAGCGAGCAATGGATTCTTATTGCATGCACCAAGATAGTCTTGTTCGCTCCTAAACTTTGCGGCTAGTTTAACCATCACATCGGGTCGAGCTCTGCTCGCGTGTGGTCAGCCATCTTTATGACTTTGCTTTGCTTCCAGCATTTCTAATTCTAAATATTAGCAAAAGTAATTTAAGAGGAAATATAATTATGTTATATAGTTTAAATAAGGAAATAAATTATATAAGATAAATCTTATTTGAATCTAAATTCCTAAATTTTAGGTCTTGTTACTTAGTTCAAATAAGGAAAGATTTAACAATCAGAATTGTAGTCGATTTCAAAATCCTAAATATTAGAAAAATACTTAAATTACAATTTTATCCAATATAAAATAAATATCTAAGGGATAAAAAGGGTAAACGACATGTAGTTAAATGTATTTGTGATTTAAATATAATATAGATAGAAAATAAATAAAATTCGTATGTGATTCCTAAGGCATGAATATGATAAGGACAAAAGTTTTAGTATTTTCATAAAAAGAGTAGATGCAGGAAAAAAAAATTAGTTATTGGTAAACTATCATACACGAATTTTATGTAAAAGAGAACGACCTTTGTACCTTTCAATCAAACAGTATTCCTATAGTATTTTTGTGCAAATAACAAGTGCTAAAACAAACTAGAGGAAGAACCATTAGAGCAGATTTATACCCTTAAACATGATTAACATATATTATTTTGGAAGTTACAGTTATTTACTAATTTTGTTTTATAACACAAATACATCTTTTGAATATTATTTATTTTATTTTTCAAAAAATTTAATTATCATTAATATAGAATACACGCGCAACACGCGTACCCTGTACACGAGGACGGATCTATACTTATAAGTATGATTCAGAGGACCCCATGCTTTCTCCCCCAAATTATGAGTTGTCGTGTTAATATGATAAAAAATTTACTTAATGTCTTATTGGGAATCATCAAATAAAAGTGTTTTGGTGCACTTTAGTTAAAGAACGAAGTGGTTATTATATTCACAAATATGGCCATTATGTGTTTACGAACCTATGTTCATTTTGTTTTAACTCTTTCCTTTCTTTTTTGGTTTTTCCAAAATTTGTTATTCATTCTTGTTCTTTTCTTTTTTTCGTTTTCCCCCTTTTCCCCAGATGTTATTCTTTTTTCTTTCTTTTCTTTTTGTTATTTTCCAAGTTAGCTATGTTATTCCCTCTAGTTTCTTTACTTTCTGTTTTTTGTTTTTCATTTTTCCAAACTTGCTATTCCCTTTTATTGAAGATTTAGATTATATATGTTCTAGCATATTAAGTATAAAAAACTTTTATCTATTGTAATTTATCATTTATGTCGTTAGAGGTTGCAAATCAATGCTTGTTATACTATATATAATTATTGGTAATTGACTTTCAGAAACTCATAAAAAAATCATTATCTTCCAATATCTCGTGTCTAACTCTTTTCTCATCTTAGCTTAGCAATTGCTGGAATTACATATTTAGCATCCTGCATTCATGACTTGTCTTAAGCTCGTTGTCGGAGGTGCACCCATCTTCTTAAAGTCCTAAATTCCCTTTTGCAGTGCAGTAGTAGATGCTAAATAACTAAACAATTATCACAAATAATACTACAACTCCTGAAAATTTCAAGAAGATTTCAACCAGCTGCGAACCGCGTCAGAATGTGATCCTTCTACCGACACTAAACCACTAGTAGCAATATATAGCTCGTCTCTCGTCTACCATTCTCCATTTAATCTGTTCTCATTTTCAGATTTTCTATTTATATGTTCTCGTTTTCAGATTTTCCTATCTTGTTGTCGATCAATTTTCAGTAGTATTTCAGCAGCTGTTGACACTTTTGGGTGGCCAGGATTTTGGAAAATGGATGTTTGGCTTGTATTAATTAGTACACAGTAGATGTTAATACACAGTAGAAGTTAATACACAGTAGTACACAGTAGATGTTAATCATGTTTAAGGGTATAAATCTGCTCTAATGACTATTTGATTGGAAATATATGTATAAAGCACGTTTTATACCCTTAAACATGATTAACGTTATAAAACGTAAGTGTTAGATGTCCGTAAGATCACAAACGGCAAAATACATATTTCTAGAAATAAAAAAGTACTTCCTCCCTCCGTTTCAATTTAGACAAGGTAGTTTGACTTAGTATAGAGTTTAAGAAAAAAAAGAAGAGTTTTGAAACTTGTGGTCTTAAAAGCTTAAGAGGTAAAAGCTTTGTGGGGCCATGACATTTGTGTGGTTATAAAAGCTTCTTATTAAGGGTAAAACGAGTAAAATGAAGAATTTAAAGTTAAATTATTTTCAATAAAAATATATCATTTATTTTGAAACACACTAAAAAAGAAAGTATCTCGTCTAATTTAAAACAGAGGGAATAGTTTGCTTAGGCTTTTGTGCGTGGGTTTGAATTTGGAAGGTGATGGTCTGTTTTCTTTCTACTGGTCAGCGGCAAGGGAGAGTATTGGTCGGAGAAGAAAAAGAGTTGAATGGGGGAACTTGGTTGAGAGATATAATTGTAAATTTAAGTTCTTTATTTATATCTAAAATGACATGTGTTATGGAAAAATTGGTCTTGAAAAAAGTAGTGTTTAATAGACGCACTTCAAAAAAGTTAAATGTGTAAAAAGATTTTCGTCGTCAAAAAGTGTGTGACATGAATTTGATCCATAATAAGTGTCAACTTATGTATTTTGCCGATCACAAACGGTAGAGATTGAGGTCTGTCAAATCTTACAATTTATTTTTTGGAAAGGCTAGGCTACACATTCCTCTCGTACATGTATTTTGCTATTAGTTACTTTTATTATGGTAGGGGTCGGCCTAAACTCCACCATTAAGGTGGCTTTCGGCGGCCAGCCACATTCAACTGAGTGGTGTTAATCGATGTTCTTTTGTCAAAATATTACATTGTATTGCTAGATAAATTTTTCTATTTTATGTATATTTACTATATATTGACTCTCATTAACTTTTCGGTGTATCTAATTAATATTTTATATTATGACACCCGTTAGGAGAAACTCTGGCTCCGCCGCTGGAGTCTTTGATTAACAAAAAAAAAGTAGTACAAACTACTACCTCCATTCCAGTTTATGTTAACCTATTTTTTTTTTGTCTGTTCCAAAAAGAATGACCATTTTTTAAATTTGGAAACAATTTTGCTTAAACTTACAATTTTACCATTAATGATAAACTTTTATAACCGCATAAATACTCTGGCCCCTTTTTGAATTGTTTAGGATCACAAATTCTAAAAGTCTTTATTTTTTTCTTAAACTCCATGCCCATTCAAACAGGTTCACATAAATTGGAACGGGGGAGTAGATGTTTTAGGTGTTAGGAAAAGCTAAGCCATAGGTTATATATTGAAAATTTTATTTGTATTATCTCTATCATGCTATTAATTAATATTAGAGACTTTGGTACTTCTAATAGAGTACTACTTAATACTTATAACATTTCTTTGAGAACCCCGTATTTAGCTTTAAATTTGAATTTCTAGGTGGAATATTATTTTGTTAATATAAAAAGAGAATTATAAGGAGAGTAACATAACTACATAAGATCTTATCTTCCAACCGAGATGAAGAATGAACATATCCATTCTTTTGTAACCACACACACATATTCTCGTTTTGAACCCAAAAAGAAAAAGAAAAAACAATGAGGATGTCTCTGCATTTGTAAGTGACACAGACTGGAAGACCCAGCGCATGTTTCATAAATAAAATGACTAAGGCGAGTTATGTCATCTAGAAGACTAGATCGAATGGATTGAAATTCTTATTTGCCCAGCAATCTTTTTCAACAGTTTCATCGTTTGGCTTTTATGTAACATACCTAAAACGTACGATAAAAAGATGATAATGACTTGTATACAAAAACAAAGAAAGATGATAGAGGACACGGCAACTAGTTTTACTAGTTACTAGCTAATTGAGTAGTATAAATTGCAGGCTAAAGAAACCCAAATTTCCCACCCACATTTCTTTGCCCTTCTGTTTTTGCAAGACTTAATAACTCTTCAGCTTCTTTTCCGCGGCTGCTTCCACTTTGGTATATATATATATATATATATATATATATATATATTCTCACCTTTTCTTAATTCACCTTCTTTCTTTTTGTCTTGATCGGTATATATAGTGTATATTAGAGTTTACATTGTGTATACCGTTGAACTTTTACATCATCAAGTCATTTTTACATGTTGTAGCATGTTAACTTATTTTATTTTTAAGGTTACAAATTTCACATTTTAAGTTTACCTATAGATATTCTTTGATCGACATGATATAGTATAAAAATTATTTACATTGAGAAATTAAATATAGCCTGATTGCAATTATAGGCTACTAGACTTTACAACCTATTTCTTCCGAGTATAATCAGTTCTATGCAAAAATTTAAATACTTACATAATTATATTTTTGGTGCATATAACTTAATTAGATGATTTTAATGCCTTTTTATCTAGCCAAGTAAATCTTGTTAACAATGCATTGCTAGCATACGTGACTCTCTTATCATTAATTCACCTTTTACCTTGTTATCATTAATCTCCAAAATTAAGTTAGCTGCTGTCTTGAATACACACGAAGAACCTAGAGAATAAAAATGAGAGAAAAAGGAAGCGCTTTTCTTCTAAAGTGTACAGTTCAATCCTTTCATGTGCATGTAGTAGCTCTAAATAAACTTGAAAATCAACCAAAATGGACATATTTTAACGCCACTCTTAATTTTTAGGGTGTGTTTGGTACGAAGAAAAATATTTTCCAATTTTTCCATATTTGGTGGGAAGAAGTCTAATGCTAGTTCTTACTAAGACTTCTTTATCTAACTTTCATTTTTGAGTTGTCTTGAATGTTTTGGGAAATATTTTTCTCATCAACTCATTTTCCTCCAATTGGAGAAAAATATTTTCCTTATTAAAATGAGAGAAAACATTTTCCTTCGTACCAAACACACACTTAATGTCTATCTCTACCTTTTGATTTCACCATACACAGTAGAGAAAAAAAACAGTGTGTTTTATGTTTGCTAAATTCTGACTAAAAATGGGGAATTGCAGAGAGAGAAGACATGGCAAAGGGAAGTTACGAGAAGGCCATTGTTTCACTCCAGAACCTCCTCAGGTTTGGACAATCGTATCTATAACATTAACTGAAATATGATTTAAAAAGGAATCGTAAGATACTTTTGTTTTTTTAAATATTTAGAAAAAGAACCAAAGTTGTTCCTTGTAAGTACCTGTTCAAAGTTGTGTTTTAAAACTTCTTCAACAAAAATATTTCCAAATATCTAGCTGCTAAAACAGTTTTTAATAAAAGTTATTGAAAATTATTTTATATTTGAATGATTATTCTTAGAAAAGATTATATATATATTTACGTAGTTGAACTATATTGTAACATATATGTTTATATAAATTTTGTATTCACTATAGAGTAATAATTACTAAAGAAGTAATTTCTTGCTTAAGTAGCAATTTAATATATAAACCAATAGTATTAATTATGGGTGTTTGATTGAAGTGAGAAGGAAGAACTGGAACCGGTTGTAGCAGAAAGAATTGATGAAATCACAGCAGAGTTACAAACGACAGGCTGCAAATCCTTCGACCCTGTTCAAAGGATCAAGACTGGCTTTTATTATTTCAAAACAGAGATATATGAGTAAAGCCCCTATATTCCCTTCTTTTTATTTTCCCTAACATGTTAAAAGTGTGTCATTAGTTTTCATACAATGATAATTAAATAAAACGAACCATGAAATACTAATTTCTTTCATGTATCAGCAAAAACCCAGAACTGTTTGATAAACTCAAGAAAGGACAGGAACCCAAGGTATAAGATCTATATTACGTTTTTTTTTTACTTTGTAATTTAATTTTCTATAGCTGAAAAATCAAGTATCCAACCATGTAACAGTTTCTGGTGTTTGCCTGCTCTGATTCACGAGTAAGTCCATCCCATGTGCTGAA